TTTCTTGGTAGATGAAGAAATAGAAGCTAGTAAAATCATGGCAAACATAGAATCATAGAACCATAGAATGGTTTGGGTTGGAAGGGATCTTAAAAACCTTGTAGTTCCAATGCACTGCTGTGGGCAGGGACTCTTCCCAGCAGACCAGGTTGCTCACAGCCCATCCAGTCTGGCCCTGAATGCCTCTGGGGATGGGGCATCCACAGCTTCACTGGGCAGCCTGTTCCAGTGCATCACCACCCTCACAGTAAAGAATTTCATCCTAAAATTGTGTTTAAATCTACCCTCTTCCAGTTTCAAGTCGTTTCCCCTCATCATGTCATTATGTGCTGTAACTTCTAAATGAAGGAGGTTTGCAGCATAAATGAATGACATTCAGCAGATTCTGGAGTCAATCTTCCTCCCTCCCTGTCTTCAGCAAAGATGCTGAAAAGAGCATCTTTGAGTAGCAGAGATTTGTACAAATTGGTCCTAAAAGTTCTGTGAGCTCACCACTTAACTTTTTCATAGCCACTCTCCTCATGCTTTGATGTTAGATGCTGCTATTATCCAGTGATCCATCTTCTGTTGTGTCTTCTAATAAATGCCCAAAAATTGCTGATAGTTTTGGGGGTTTTTTTGTATGTGTGTGTGTGTTTATGTGTGTGTGACAGCATTTAAAGCCACTGCCTTGTAACTTGGAGTTATTTTCCCTTCCTTTGGCCAATCACTGTAAACATCTCCTTCTCCCCCTTATATTGTTGAATTTGACATGATATGGTATGGAATATTTCCCTGGTTAGTTTGAGTCGTCTTACTGTGTGCCTCCCAGACCCTTGCACAGCCCACAGTTTATTCACTTTGAGGACAGTGACAAGCAGATGCTGTGCTTATCTCTTTAAATGAGGATGTTACAGGTATACACACACCTATTTTTGATGTCAGCATACAGCAGCAGGGTAATCAAAACCTGAAAAATCTAACTGCTCTGGCATAGTTAGAACATTAGCATGATATCAGCATTATTTTGGTCGCCAATCACAGCTGTTATGAAGAAAAACAACTCTAACCCAGCCAGACTGAGTACAACTGTGTACATAATAAATTAAGTAAAGGATCTCAATGATCTTTTTCCTCTGTTGATGATCATTTGGGAGAGAATGGCCTACAATGAAGAACTATCAACTAGACATGCAAATTATGGCTTGCACATATGCTGAAGGGGGTCTAAAAGTTATATCTTCATGTTTTCATCACTGTCTTACTCACAGCATGTGAGGCAAGTACACTGTAATCTAATTCCTGTGTGATGTGCAGAGCTCCCTCAAAATTTTTACATTTACAGGCAAAGGTTGAAGTAAATAATCTCCTAACTACATGTCACAGCAAAACTTTCTCCTCAGGCACCACGGAGTTTACTATGTATTCTGGTTCTGCAGTGGGTGTATGTAACCATGATTTTCACCCACGATGAAAAATAAAGAAATTGCAGTTCTTAAATCCCAGTGTTTGGTGAAAGCTATTTAGTTACGTGGGAAGAAAGAAAATAAAAATACTGAGTCAGTGAAATGTATGTTCAGCCTTTCTACCTCGAGTTCTTTACAGCGTGTTAGGTATTTTCATTCAAAAGCAATGAAGAAGTCACCCATAGCCTTTGCCAGCCTAACTGTAGCCATGTAGGTGTTGGATCATTAAGTCTGAGCCAGGCACTCAGATTATGAAGAGAAGTACGAATCTCCCAGTCCTGATTCATCCGACTACTGATACGCCACCGGTGCAAATTAAAAGAAGTTTTTTTCTAGGAAAGAGAGGAAACAAAACAACAATACAACCAATAACAACACATTGAGTTTATCTCTTTTACACTTTCTTGAAGCATGTCAGTGGACTATGAGAGCTCCCATTTAAAAATTAAGCTTGTAAAATATAGGAAATTAATGATACAAAGAATTCTAGAAAACAGCTTTCCATCCTGTGCATTTCCAGATCAGAATGCACAGAATATGAAAGTCAGAGATTGGTGGTTCATTTGCACATCAGAAGCATAATTTATCAGTCATTTAAGCAAAATTAAACATAGAATCTTAAAGAAGTTGTAGGGGACCTCTACACAGCGCCTGGTACAGAGTAATTATCGAAGGTGACTTATTGAGATGTGCCCCTCTGAAGAGAAGATGCAGCACGAAGGGTGGAGCAAGGTTGGAACATCGCAGTGAGATGCTGTGATAACACTGCAGAGATGGGAACTTAGTGCTGTGGAACGTTCGTGGTACTCACACATGCTCTGCAGACAGTGCATTATTAGCAGCAATCCAAAAGAATCTACAATTCACTGCTTCATTAATTAGTGCTAGTCATTAACTTTGCGGTGAATGTTCTCATTGAATATGACCAAATTTCTTAAGGAGGGGCTGTTCTGGTTCATTTGAGTGCAACTCGGTTGATGTGTTATTTGGATCTGTGATCAGTCTATATATTCCCTGTACTTATGGTGCCAGATTAGACATCACTGGGAATCCAAGCTCAGTTGCTCTCAGCCCCTCTGATATCTAAGGAGAAGCTGGAATGCAAGGGGGTTTATTTTCTAACAAACTTTTTTACCTATTAATGAAACACCTGGCCCAGGAATAATATATGTTCAAATAAATAATTAAGAAATAGTAATAAATAACTGTAAACAGTCACACACATTACGACTTTAATTGGGACCCATGGGTATCTGAGTTAGCACAGCTGTTTGCCATAATTATATGACCTTCAGCTTTGGAACCAAAAAACACCCGCAGTCCCAGCTGTCTCTTAAAGAGACAAAGAATATATAGAGTACAACAGAATCTCTGTCCTCTGGCACACAGTGCTCCTCTCCTGTCAGCAGGTGGCACGGACCGCGGCACAGACACCAGCTGCAGGCTTGGTGTTAGCGCTGACGTGCAGACAGGGCAACAAACAGCCGCGTGGTGGGTCCAGAACGGGGGGGACCTTTGGTCTGCGCACAGCAGTATTAAACACGGGTGTGTGGAATAGGAGGAAGACTTCAGAACACGATGATGGACCACCAGCAAAGGTCCTGAAATGGAGGTGTACATTTAAGCTGATGGCATGTTTTTGTAGGAGGTTAAAGCTGGGGTTGGTTTCAGAGATAAAGTTATGGTATGGAGTAAAGTGGGGAGTTTGAACAGCTGGGAGCTGTTGATACTTGGGGGGCACTGAGGAAGACAGTCAGTAAGCAGTGCAAGGACTGGGAGAGTTCAGGCCTCAGTTCTATTGTATTCACACATGAATGTTGATATCTATGAGCATGAGTGAACTCTGAATAACTAAGGAGAAAAAGTGCCTCAGGCCATGCTGTTCTCCTCCCTCCACCGGACATGAAGATGTGGATGGCTCACCTTGCCTGCGGAGGAGGAATACTGCTTTGAACAGATGACAAGAAGGGTGATAATTAAGAAAAGAGACACATACTTATTTCTTCTTAAACAGAAGATAAGTGAGGGTTAGTATTATTGAGATTGGACAAGAAATGAGTGATCATTAAATTCTGGTTAGACTACCAACACATTAATGAGACTGATAATGAATTTTCTTTGGTCAAAGCATGTACTTTGCAATTCTGTGACTCTGTGTAATAAGTCATTCTTCCTTTTGTTTAACAGTTCCCATTAAATACTGGAAGGAAATTAGGTATTGGACAACATGAACTAATTTATACACACATTAATTACAATGAGCCCTTCAACTGTCCGTGTAAGAAAGGATGAGATATGGGGACCTGGTTTAGTGGGCATGGAGGTGATGGGCTGATGGTAGGATTAGATGATCTAAGTGGTCTTTCCCAACCTTAACGATTCTATGATTAAATAAAAAATAGTAAGATTTTTTTCTTATTTCAAAGCATAATATAAAATTTATAGTTTCCAGTGTCAAAACCAGTTTCATTTCTCACTGGTCTCAGTAAGGGAAGTAAACTGAACCTGTTTTAAATCAGTGGCATTTATATGTCTGAGTATCTACTCCTATCACATTTTCAGTATGTTTTCTTCTCTAGCTCAACACTGCCAGCCATGCTACTAATGCAGTAGAAGTCATTCATATAAACACACCATCTTTGCAGCAAGACGTAAGATGTAAAGAAAGATGTAAAAGAAGGGATGCAAAAATCAACGTAACTTTCTCGTGACTCAAAAGCAGAAAAAGAATTGAGATGAATGAGTGGATAAATAGACTTCTAAACCAATTTTGACTTTTTTATGGTCAAATGAATCACTGTTTCATTCAAAATGTATGAAAATGAAATTATTTGATAAATTCCATGGAGAATACTGATTTATTTTCTATGTTTGTCTTATTGCCAACTCTTGGCATATTAGTTTCATAGAGATATTTGGATAACTGACTTTTCTCCATATTTCCAATATTCTGATGACTTCATTGGAAAATTGACATTGTTGTGGGGTCTCTTTGAGGAAAAGTGGAAGTCTGCATATGATCTGAGCACCCTTAGGTCCCTTGAAAGACAGCTGGGAATGTGATTCTAGGTTTGAGCAATTTTAGACTGCAATTCATCTATCTTTGACTGCATTAGAATGAAATGTACAGTACCTTGGAAAGGTCTGCTTTGCTCATTTGGAGAGGTTGTATCCATCGCTAGCTCAGATCAAGATAGCTACAGTGTAAACCACAAAGATCAGCCTACTATAGGAGACTGGACTGATGATTTAATCCGGGTATCAGTTCCTACTGCGTGGAGAAAACATGAAACATCTGATGATGTTTACTTTCAGTTCACAATTCCAATGCAATGCCCAAGATAGTGGGAATCTAGATGACTAGCTTTCAAGTACTTTTGAATAAGGAGTTCCGTAAAACTAGCCAATGGTCAGAGTATGCATTTTCAGTAGTCTCAGTATACCCCAAGGTGCTTAAATATTGCAATATATTTGTACTGGTGTATTCATTACTGCCTGTTTGTCACGGTTCGGCAAAGTCAAAATGGGTGTCAATTATACTGTAGTTAGTTTGTTTTGTTAGGATTGTCCCAGACTCACAAAGTCCAATCAGTTCTCTTCTTCTTCTTCCTGCTGTTCTACATGATAATTCTCCCAAGCAACATCCTTATCATTCTCACAATTCAGGGCAATTCCCAACTGGGATCACCCATGTATTTTTTCCTGGCCAATTTGGCGTTCTTGGACATCTGCTACTGTTCTGTGACCCCACCCAAAATGCTGGCTGACTTTTTCTCAAATCCCAAGACCATCTCCTACAATGCCTGCATGACCCAGCTTTTGTTTCTTGACTTCCTGGGAGCAGCAGAAGCTTTTCTGCTCTTGGCCATGGCCCATGACCGTTACATTGCTGTTTGCAAACCACTACACCAGGCTTTGAACAGGACTGCATGCTGTGCCCTGGTTGGAGCTTCATGGGGCAGTGGCTTTGTTCATGGCATCATTCTGTTTGCTCTCACCATCAAGCTCCCCTTTTGTGGCCCCAACATCCTGGACATCTTTGTGATGTGCGTCAGCTGGCTAACTTGGCCTGTGCTAACACTTACACAGTAGAACTGCTGGCATTCCTCAACAATGGAGTTATCATTGTCATGTGCTTTGCACTTCTCCTCATCTCCTACACAATCCTCTTGCTGAAGCTCCGGACACAGTCCACCAAGGCAAAGAACAGAATAACCTCCAGCTGTATTTCCCACATCATTGTGGTTTTTGTCATGTGTGGCCCAGCTATCTACATCTATGTCTTACCCTTTCAGACCGTCCCAATTGTTGTTGCTGATGTTGCTGATGACAAGGGGTCATCTTCCCCTTGACTAATTCCATGATCTACACCCTGTGTAACAAGGAGATCAGAAGTTTGATGTGGAAGTTGGTCTGCAAACACATACTTTGGTGTAGACTTAAAAAAAAATAATAATTAAAAATAATTGTTTCTTGATTTCTTAATGCAGTTTCGCATTTTTCTTAGGAAAAAATTTGGACTGTGCACTATGTAACAGCATAATGTACCTTCAGTAACCTTCAAGAAGTCCTCTTCTGTCAGTCATGTAGTTTAGCTGCATGGTTTAAGATCAATGCTTAGCATTAGAGGGTCGATATTTTATGCATAATTGCTTGACAATATTTTGGGATAATTATAGTATGTAGATTTTCATTTAAATTGATGATTGTTTATGGACCTCTGCAGATCATTTTTCCTTAACCTAACAAGGGATTTTCATGAATTTGGTCAACTCTTCTCTCCCCTTATAGGCAGGACGTGACAGTTGTTGCTATGAAGTTGTTGTTAAAAATCTTCTAATTTTATTAGAAATAATTTGGTAGATGTTGAGACTTCATAAAACCATTGGTGGACTACTGGCTCAGGTACAGGCATGTTAGTTCAAGATTTCAGCTCATAGTTGAATTTTCACTATTGATGCTGCCTTCTTGTTAGACTCTTTCATGATTCTGCCATTTAATGAGTTGATTACTTTTCCACAAAGGGAGAATGTGCGGGCTGCTGGATGATCTAGCTTGTAGGCAGGCTTTGTTTTTCATGGAGAAACATTGCAATCTGAAATCAGAACACAACTATTAAGTAAAAATCAAAGACAATATAGTCATAGACTTAGAGGAAATACTGATCATAAGCTTTATCTATACAGTTACAGACATCTGCAACACAGATGCAAATGTCTGAATTAGTCACTAAGGATTCCTGCAAAATTAGTAGGCATTTCTAGGGAGAAATTCAGCTAACTCTTTTTAAATTTCTACTTTGAGAAGTAGTAAAGCCGTGCCTTAGACATTTTTGTCTTGCCCCTTGTACTTGCCCTGTAATCCACTTCTTAGTCTTGCTTTGAGTTGGAGTCAACCAAATAATTTATTTTTGTTAGGAAACTATGATTTTCTTACGGCAGTGTAACTTCTTTAGGCAGTGTAGATGCTGAGTGAAATATGGCTTCATCCACTAAGTTCTCCAGTAATATTCCAGAAGGCATTGCACCCTACAGGTCATGGTATTTTCAGTTCTCATATAATACTGTTCATGGCATGCTGTAGATATCCAAATATATTTGCCTCTGAAGTATGGTTTTTTTGTTATTGTTGTTCCTTAACAGATCTTCTACACATCATTTGACAAAAGACAATGTCACAAAGTCAAGAGTGCTTTTCTCCTAATGTCAGATGCCACAAGCACCCATCCTTCCCATCCTGGGAGACTTCATCACCATTTGATCAAGTGTAACCTCTTAGCTATCACTCCTCCATTGCAGCATGAAACTAAGGCTGCTGCGTCTCCTCTTGCAGTCCTGTTCTGATTCCCTGAAAGTGCACAGACTGCTCACTTCATCCAATAGTTCCTTCACTTGTAAGACAGTGCCATGACATAGCATGTCTCCCACAGGTGAAGCCACAATCTCCTGTATTCCCAGGAGGAGGCTTCGACTTTATTTACTGTATTTATTATATTTATTTATACATTTATTATATTTATTTACTATATTTATTATGCAGCATCCTCCCTCTGGAATTGCATTCATGAACAGATCTCTGATATTCTGGAGGACTTTCTTCAGTAAGGACTGGCAACTGAATTTAATGGAACATGATCACAACAATTCCAAGCAGTCCCATATTTTTTGGAGCATGATTGCTGTCCCTTTGGATCAGTAGTTTTGCAAGGCTTCTCTCAGTTAGTTTTCAATGGTCTTTGGAATCTGGAGAAAGTCTCCATTGACTGGAAGCTGGCAAACATCCCATTTTTCAAGAAGGGCAAGAAAAAAGACAGTGTTAATTACAGGTCCATGAGTCTTGGTGCCTGATAAAATTATAGAGATTATTTTGGGAGTTATTGAAGAACAGTTGAAAGACAGAGCAGTCATTGGTCACAGCTAACATGGATTCACAAAGTAAAAGGCCTATTTAATGAGCTTCATCTCCTTTTAAGGCAAGGTTACCTACCTAGCTGATCAAATAGATGTAATCTTTTTGGCTTTCTACAAAGCTTTTGATAATGTTTTTCACTGTGTCCTTAAGGACAAAATGTCCAGCATACAGCTAGGCAAGTACCTAATAAAATGGATGAACAATTGGCTGATGGATTGGGCTCCAAGGATTATAATAAATGGGTTTAAATCAGGCTGGTGGCCAGTCACTAGTGGGTTCCAAAGAGCTCAGTTTTATGGACAGTTCTCTTTAATATTTATATAAATAATCTGGATGCAGAAGTCAAATGCACACCCGGTTTGTAGATGATACAGAAGGAATGATGATCTCAGCATTGAATGTGGTTTTCTCATGGAAATGTCAGATCTCATCTCTTCGGATCTGCTGTGTGGTTTCTGTATCCTTCCTGAGAGAGAAAGATTTTTCCCAGTGTTTTCCTGATGACATTTTTCATCTTAGTGTTTGAGTGCATCAATCAACAGATTAGCATTGGTGTGATCACAGTACAAATAACACGCAGTACCTGTCTATAGGGAATTTCTCATAAAGTCAAGCGTAGAAGACGATGAAGGGGGTGAATATTAGGCTCACAATGGTTATCTGAGTTCCTCAGGTAGACAAGGGTTTCCATTTTCCTTCTGTGATGCATGTCCTTAATTTCAAGATGACACTGTAGGAAATTGTCAAGATCACAGAAAGAACCATGAGAATCACTCCATTGTGAAACACCATCTGTAGTCCAGCCATGTGGGTGTCAGCACAAGCCAGTTTGATGACTTGAGGAACATCACAGCAAAACTGCCCAGTATGTTGGGCCCACAAAATGATAGATGGAGAAGAAAAACAATCTGTATAGCAGAGTGAAAAATTCCACTAAACCATGCTGTTATCACCAATCCTGTGCACTCCAGTTTGTAACAGACAAGTAACGTGGTGGCTCATGGACGGCCACATACCTATCAACTGACATTCATACAAGGAAAAAAAAAACATTGCAGCGGCAATGAAGTAGAAGAACATTTGGTGGAAATGTTCACTGAATTATGCTATGCAGAATAAAAAGATCTGACAGCAGTTTGGGAATGTTGACTGAAGAGAACTTGACACTGAGAAAAGCCAAGTTGCCCAATAGGAAGTAAGTGGGTTTATGGGGCTGGTGATCAACAACTACAATTGCAATGATGGTGAAGTTCCCCAGCCAGGTTACTATACAGATAACAAAGCTGATTACAAACAGACTGTACTGTAGTTTGCAACTCTTTGTCAGTCCAAGCAAGACAAATTCTGTCACAGTAGTGGTGATATTGTTCAACTCTGTTCCTGCACAGTGAATATAGCAACAAACATGTATAGAATCATAAAGTCACAGAATCACAAATAATTTAGTTTAGAAGTAACCTCTGACTGGAGTCAAGTCTGATGCTCTCTTCAATTCAGGGTCAGCTGGAGCACACCTAGGGAATTTTTGATCTCACAGCCTGTTGGCAACCTGTTCAATTATATGACCAGTCTCAAGGAAAATAAATAAATATCCATAAAATTTAGCACATTCCCACAAGTATCTGTTGCCTTTCATCCTGTTGGTATATAGCTCCAGAAGAGTTGGCCTCCATTTGCTCTGCATCATTCTCTCATCTGTTAGTTATAAATAGCAAGAAGGTCTCCTCTTAACCTTCTGTACTTAAGAGTGAACAAATCTTGTTTGGCTTGTTGTTCCTGGCCAATTTCTCGATGTTCTTCCAGGGAATTCACTGCCACTGTCCTTCTTGTCCTGGAGAGCCTCAGATTGGACACAGTATTGCAGATAGAATCTCTCAAGCACTAAATAGAGGGGTAGGATCATTTCCCAGATCAGCTGGCTAGACCCTTGCTAACAGAGCCCAGGATGTGTTTTGCTTTCTTTACTGCATAAATACTTCCCTGTCTCATGTTCAGCAAATTCCCTAAGAATAGCAGCCTTCCCATCCAGCATACTGACCACTTTCCTGAGCTTGATGTCCCCCGGAAACTCACTGTGATTGCATTGCATCTCAGCACTTATCTCATTAACAAAGACATTAAACAGTACTGGCCTGAATACTGATCCCTGAGGGACACCACTAGTTAGTTCTCATCTGCTTAAATTTTACACCTTCTTAAAATCAGCAGCCCAGGCAATTTTCCATTCGTGCTATCACTCCTTTACTAGGAGTGATACACTAGGACCCCAGCTCCACTAAGCAATGAGAACAGACTCTCCTTACTCTTCCTTTTGCTTCAAATGCACTGTAAGAAACCTTTATTTTTGCATTTCACCTCCTTTGCAAGTTTCAGCTCCAGATGATCGTGGGCTGCATGTAATGCAAGAGCACCAGGGCTTCTGGGCAAGGTTTAGTGATCCCAAAGAAAATATGTAGAGGCAAATTAACATTCATCAGTTTAACAGAGAAGTACTCAAGTTACCGGGGGTGGCTGGCTGGTAGAATTTCATCAAGTCCTCTGTACTGGAAGAGGCCAGCCGGTAGAGTGTCAGCACTGGGGCTTCCCAGCAGATACAGGTGTCAGCCAGTCAGCCAACCTGCAAGATGTCCACGCCACCCCTTAGTACTGTGGCCATATACTTAACAGCAGGAGACAAAGCATAAGCTATGAGACAAAGTGTTGCTGATCAACACAAACTGGTGGTGACCATCCCTGCTTTACGCCATTCTTGCTTCTTCCCTATCTTTTCTATCGCCCTCCTTCCCTTCCCCGTCTCCCTGATCAGGATTTATAATAAACTGGTCGGACCAACGTTTGAACCATTGTTTCTTAATCTCACACTGGGTATACAGATATTAAAAAACCTCCTCTCCCTCTTACAAATTGGAGCGAGACAGTGGTTTACTGCAAATTTGAATGAACTATTTTTCTACTCTAAAGAGGCTGCCCCTAAGATTAACAAGTTTTCCTGCGTCTCTTTATCCTCAAAGAGCAGTTTTCCATGGGGTCCTACCAAGCAGA